TGGGCAAGAAGTCAGGATGTAAGGACGACTTCCATCGTTCTTACATCTATCCATAGTCAAAGAAGCATATATTAATCCTCTCTCCGTATCTCTGGCTGTTCACTGTGAATTCCAAGCTCACTTCTCCATATTTCTATGTGTAAACATATACTTGGAAGAATATGGTCACCCTTGACGACCAAATTCCCGACATTGGCATAAGGCAGAGTTGACTTACTTCGACATCCATTAAGCCTCTGCCTCAACTAACTCTCGTTTCACTTAATCCTCTATCTCCCAGGAGCCATTTGCTGCTCCGTCGGATTCAGAAGGTATTTGGACTGTCGCTTGACCCAACCCGTTAGTCTGGAGGTAGTGGCAGTGATAGTCTACAAAAAGGCGTTCCTCAATCGACAGAGCGGAATTTCTGTAGGTGGAATGTAGCGATTCTCTGTGAACCAGGTAGTTCCCACCAGTGGCCTTCTTCGTGTCACACTATTTACGGGACATTTGATGTGCTAAGTCCAAGTACTGTATCATCTCCCAAAATCTTTCTCCCTGGAAGGTGTCACCGGACGCCATCGAGTCGTGCACATTACCAGGCTGCGGCGGACAGGAAGTCGGCCCAGCCAGGCTGCTACGCTCCCCAAGTTGCACTTAGTTTGTCACATGCTTCTCTCCTTTTCGTAACCGTTCCATTTAACCGATACTATTCGCAAAAAATCGTTTCCTGTAGCCTCCTCGTTCACTATACACCTGCCGGCGTAGTCAGGCCACGGGAACGGGAGCAACTTAATCCTGCTGGTAGTTCTGAGTGTTTTCGGAGAATATCAACATGCAAATGCAATAAATATTATGGTGAGCAACAATTAAATAAAAATATTTCTCTCTCTCATAAGACTAATAAAGATAATAAAGATACTGTGTTACTTTTTCTATACTCAGTATTCCGTCACTGCTATGATTCATTTGTAAAAGAAGGAGATGGAGAGGGGGTTGGAGTCTCGGCGTCATCGAAAGAGTGCAAGCTTCTCAAAATAACCACTAGGTTATGGGGGTAGAATGGCTATGTAATTACCTGGGCGGCCTTTATTGGTGAAGTTCCTACACTACGTGCTGCTCCGTACTAAGTGAATTGAGTATATGAGTATACTAATTATATTAATGCATCTGTCAAAAACATGGAGAGGTAAAGAAAGAGGCATGGAAAGGAAGGCCAGCTATCCAGCGAGAGCTGCGGCCAGCCAGCTTGAGAAGCAGGTATCCAGATCAAGAGATAGACAAGCAGAAATTGTGTCTGACTGATTGACAGACAAGGAGAGAAAAGCTAGGAAAAGTGTCAAGCAGACATGTGAACGAGCAGAAGGACAAACAGAATAACGTGGAGAATGTTGTTCCTCTGTTCTGTATAAGTCTTCTCCGAGTACAGCTTTGAGTACAGCTGATTAGCTTAATCTAGCCCTCAGGCTGGCTAGGATTTGACTCGTTTATGGCCCATCTTACCGAGATTGTCAGCTCGACTCCTTGCCAGATTCCAATTAAACCGTTTTTACCCTTCATTTCGAATTCCTTTCTGGGAAAGCTTATTGAAATTAACTCATGGGTGGGCGTTGTCGTTTGTTCTATTCGTAATTGCTAGCCATTATTGCTGTTAACTGCTCACCTTTAACTGCAATCCGTTACAAAGTGCGAAAGGACCTGGGGAGCTCGCAGGTACCCATGCTTCCATCTTGGTTATATGCCTATTCTATTCGATCCATCATGCTATCGATGCAAGGCCAAGTCGGTTACTATGACTAACCAGTTAAAAGCCAATAAAAGGTAAAAACGTCGCCATGGCTTACTCTGCCATGCTGAGCGGACTTCGGCTTCGATAAAACAATGGGGAAAGGGCATTGAAGAACGTAGTGGGCAATGGATTCGCCTATCACTGCCGGTTTCTTTTCACCTGCATTTCAATCAATTGAAAGGAGAACTTTTCTCATTCCACTGAGACTGGCTGATTGTTTTTCTCGAATATTCCTTCTTTCCCATACCCGAGGCCTGGAAATCATGCCACCTCCTGCCTTTGCACTTATCCGGAAAAACACCGCCTGCTCATTTGATTAATTCTTTACCTCCTTTCTTGTCTCGAGCTCTCCAAGCACTTTTCTTGAGATTTTCTCAAACGAAGGCATTCATGACTTTTCTATACCCTCTAATTGAATAGAAAATCTTCTATTTATTCATCCAAATCTTCTAGAAGTGACTTCTGCTTAACACACCTTCCATAGTTGTTTTGTAACCAGTAGTAGAAGGCGCGGTTTCGGGGCGAGATTGAGACATAAGGACATCCTGGACTGATGTGACAGTTTTGAAGATACGAAACAGTCGGTCATCTCTTAGAAATCGCTATTTCGAAGTGGAATCTTCTGTTGATAGTCATACGTGAGACATCATACTGCCTACCGTCTCCTGAGGCTTTCTCTCTAACACAACTTCCAGAAAATTTGTAGACGTGGGATTATAAGATAGGATTTATTCAAGAATTGATCGTGAGGTTCTCTCTTCGACTAAGNAATTCGTCTGAGATTTCGAACCTGAAAGCATTTTGGGCCCGATAGACCGAGTACACGATGGCAGAAGTTCTGATGCTTTCTGCTATGGCGAATTCTTGCTTTTGTGGACTTAGCATGTGGTGTTGTTGGTTTGGAAAGTGGCCTAAGTAGGGCCACCCAAGGGCTCAAGATTGTGGCAGAGATCCTCCGGGACAATAAAAAGGTCCAATAAAGAATGTATTGAACTTCCAAGAGAGGGTGGAGGGCGGACCGTGTCACGCAATGAAAAGTAGAGCACCTTTCTGAAAGTTCATTCAGCAGGAACTTTCCTAAGCACGAGTAAGATCTCGTCCAAACGATCAATCCAGCCGTCGTATTCTCATATGACTCTAGAATGACTAGCTCAAGAAGGTGGCTAAGTTGCACTTTGAGGTGTTCTGCACGTGTTATCGCCTTTGGCTTTCTTTGAATACTCTCCACTAACTCATATGCCCTCTAATCTGTTAATGGTACAAAACAGAGACTGTATTGGGTTGATGCATAACAAATCTTTTTTCTGATTATTAGGTTCTGGCATTCAGTAATTCCGGGACTTTCTTTACAATTCCTATTAGATTCTGCATTGTTACCTAGGTTCCCATTTTCCAGTCTGTTCCTAGTACTTCTATGAATACAAAACTACTAGTCCATTCCGTGTAAATGTATTATTTGATAATTTGTAGCCGTCTGTAGTGAATAATAGTAAATGCAGATGTAGATTGTTGGATTGTTTTTAATAACAAAAGTTCTGTTCCTTGAGAATTTCCCGAGAAGGGCCTTCAAA